GTAGATTTAAATTTCAGAGTTCAGTAGGAGACGTTCGGAGTATAGAGAGGAAGTCGACTTTAAAAGGAACCATAAACACAATCCTAAACAGAAAACAAGGGATAAACCTCTACTCCTGTTCAAAAGACAAAGAAGGAATGGACAGATTGGCACACTTTCTAGGATGTTACAGGGAGAGAAAGATAATGAAAAGACTTTAAAAGGAACCGGAAACCCAATCCTAAACAGGAAACAAGGGATAAACCTCTTGTCCTGTTCAAAAGACCTGGGTGTGTTTTTGAACCACACAGTAGGCAAACATGTCTACTCCTCTTGAGCTGTACTTGCAAGTACATTTTTTTCGTATTTCTTTGAGGCATAGACTACCAGGGATCCCTTCAAATAGTCTATCGGGACCTTTTCCGATCAAACCAAGTGCTCCAAACAGAACTGGAATTATTGATGTTCTCATTTGTCACATTTCGGAGATTTCCACATGAAGATCCTTGTATTTTGATATATTTTTTGGAAGATCTAAAAAGATTACATTACAATCTGCAGGGATTGCAATGTCAACATCAAAGCACGTTTTATTTTTGTGGTGTTTGATCAAGATGTCTGTCCGATTAGCTCTGATTGTTCTGCCTCTGTCTATTTTAAAGCCCCATAAAATTGTTACAGATCCTATCCCTGTAACCCAGTATCGGAGATGTTCATATCAGTAAAATCCAAGTAAATTTATTATTATTATTATTATTATTATTATTATTTCTCATTTCTTTGCGGGTCCCAACCAGAGACCTAAGGTCAGGACTGGCACCATGACATTTGCCACTGAGGTGTTTGAAAATACACACACACACACACACACACACACACACACACACACACACATACACACACACATACATTTTACATAGATAAAGCCCTTCGTAAGTTGTGGGCTGTACTTGTGAGAACAATTTTTTGTATCTCTTTAATGCATGGGCTTCCAGGAATCCCTTCAATGAATCTATTGGAATCTTTTCCAATCAAACTGAGGGCTCCAACATCAACTGGTTTTGTTGATGTCTTCATGTTCCATATTTTTGATATTTACATTTCCAGTGCCTTGTATTTTGATAGTTTTTTGAAGATCTTCAAAGATATATTACAATCTTCAGGGATTGCCATGCCAATCAGAAAGCACATTCTACCTTGTGGTCTTTAGTCACGATGTCTGAACGACGCTTTAATTTTTCTGCCAGTGGACAGGAGGCATAAATTTGTTGCTGATCCTATGTCTGCAACCGGGACTGGTCATTATTATTATTATTATTATTATCATCATCATTCGATTTCTGCTATGGACACACTACCTACCAAGTCTGCGGAAAGACCTAAGGCAGGTCGTGGTGTGTTGTTATGGCCACATTTCGGTGAAGTTGCTAGCGTTACATAGACAAAGTTCTCCTTAGTGTGTGTGCTGTACTTAATAAGACAATTTTCTGTATGTCTCTTAAGCTGGGGTTTCCAGGGATTCTTTCAATGTGTTGTTTTGTTCCATTTTTTATAATTCCAAGTGCACCTATTACCACTGGTATTATTCTTGTTTTCAATTTCCACATTTTTTCTATTTCAATTTCCAGGTCTTTGTATTTTGATAGTTTTTCAAATTCCTTGGTTGCTATGTTACAATCCGCTGGACAAGCCATATCAATTAGTAGGCAAGTTTTTTCTTTCTGGTTTTTGACAATAATGTCCGGCCTATTTGCTTCAATTTTTCTGTCTGTGTGGATGGTATAATCCCATAGAATGGTGACATCTTCTATTTCTGTAACCGGCGCTGGCCGATGTTCATACCAGTGTTTGCTTACACATTTTCCAAAGTGTTTGCACATTGTCCAGTGTAAGTATTGCCCCACTCTATCGTGACGATTTTTATATTCATTTGGGGCAAGTATAGAACATCCTGAGATTAGATGGTCTATTGTTTCTTGGTATTTGTCACAGAACCTGCATTTTGGATCCACATTATTATGTATGATATTTGCCTGAAAATTCCTAGTGAAAAGACTCTGGTCTTGCGCTGCAAGAATAAAGCCTTCAGTTTCAGATTTTAATCCAGATGCTCGTAACCATCGATGAGTATTAACTTTATCAACATTGGGTTTATTTGCACGTTCTGGATATTGGCCATGCAGAGGTTTGTCTTGCCAGCGTTGTTTCATCTGTTCAAGGGCTTTATCCTTGGCTTTCTTTTTCATATCTTTTGCTGCAATAGTTGGTTCTTGGCTTCTGTTTTGATTTACTACAGAATCTACTAAATGTAAATGTTGTTTGTATTTACTGCCTTCTTTTATTATTGAATATTTTTTCTTTCTGTTTTCATGTTGTTTCACTAATTTTATCATCCAGTCATTTGTTGTTTCCATGTAAGTTAATAAGCCAATAGTTGTTGTCTTGTATGACAATTCTAGCTGAATAAGACCTCTTCCACCTTCTTTACGGGGTATGTATAGACGGTCTACATCAGCCTTTGGATGATGCATCTTATACTTAGAAAGAAGCTTTCTTGTTTTAGAATCCATTTGTCTGATGTCATTTAGAGTCCAGTTCAAGATGTTGAAACTATATTGGACCACTGGGATGGCAAGGTTATTAATGGCCATAATTCTGTTCTGAGAATTCAATTCAGTTTTTAATACCAGTCGTACCCTTCTTTATTATTATTATTATTATTATTATTATTATTATTATTATTATTCCTTGCGTCATTTTCGATTACCATCTTGCAGGTCGATTATTTCGAATTTTGGTGTCCGTCTCATCATTACTAATTTCAAGAAAAATCACACTTCAAGAAAAGGAATCTCTGGTAAAATTAACCATATGTCGTTCCGTCTCTTACGATTCAAATTGATTGGCAGTTGAAACCACAAGAGATACTTAGGCAAAGTTTAATCAGAGAGACTCAAGTACAAACCTCAACTCTTCTTTGCAAGAAGAAAGATGGAAAATTGAATTCTCCCCTCTGTTTTCGTTGGTCAAACAGTTTTAACGTAAAGTAACTGACTTCTAATATCTGATTTTAAGAACAATTACTCCGAACTCGGAAAACTTTCGACTGAGTTAGCGATCTTACGTGAAGACAATGATTTGTGTTCATTCTCCATTGCAATTACTAACAAGGCCAACTTGATTGAATTCGTCAATAGAGTTGAAGCGGTTTTCTAATTAAATAAAATGTGACATAGAATAGCGTAGAGTTACCGGTTTGCAGACAATAGATTCCCCCATATTCAACTATCAATGCGTCTGTCGCTAACAGGTAGATATAGACATAGAGATTCATACTGATTTACCCCACCCCATGTCACAGGGAAAGGCATGAACCTACACTATCTTGTCGCTAGATATCTTGACCAATATATCGCTAGAATATCATGATGTTAATGATGGATGTGCCGGTGGTGTAATTGAAAGCGACTCTGAACGAGAAATCAGCGAGACGGGTTTGATTCCCTGTCAGGTTTGTCATATTCACTTTCGCGAATATAACCTTGGGGAAGGTTTGAATCCGTTTCTTCTATCTCAGGTTGACAAATAGAGAGACTTTATTAATGGTGGCTGTCATGAATTTTTGGTGATATGAGTGAGTGGTGGCTGTGTAGACATATAAATATGTAAGATAGATTCTAGCGATAAAAATTACCTTTCCCGACATAGTGAAACAACTTTCCTGGTTGCAGACCCATTCAATATAATCTTTCCACTTCATGTCAGCGGAAAATGTTAGCTGGAGAATGCGCTTTGTGTCACTCTCCTGAAGGTTAGCATCAACCATACTGATCGAAGACAAATAGAATTCTCTCGGGCGATTAAAAAAGAGTACTTTAAAATTAACAAGCCATTCCTTGTCCCAGTTAACAACAGATTTTATGCTATTTCCGTGAAAAGCTTCCAAATTATCGAACCGATCAGGTTTACTATTAAGACACAAGTAAATAATTTTGTCATCATAGATACGATTTTGTAAAATCGGTAAATTTGCAGTTTAAGACCCATTTTGATGTAAATTTACATGCTTATTTCGAAAATAACAATAAAGGATTGTCGAAATTATCGTTTAGAAGTTATCGACAATATAAATTCGGCCTTATTTGCGTCTAGTCTGTCCGCCATTACTGGCATTGTTTACATAGGTTTGCCTGGAGCACTCATGTGTAACGGCCTTTTTACTGATCTTCCTATCTTACACGTTTCGATTACCTCGCAAGACCAAAAGAAGTCTTTAGACATTTTTGAAATTGAAGATTGTATTGAATTGTTTTATTTGGTAAATTAGTTTAAGTTATTTAGATAAGCAATGACAAATATTGCATTTTTTATAGTATAGATTATTATAGTGAAGCTGTAATAATAATTAATTCTTGGTTAAATAATAATTAATTAAATAAAATAATAAATAATAAATAAATAATAAAACAAATCGTAAAACTAATGAAATCTTATTTTAAAGTACTTAATAATCATGTTTTTTGAAACTCCAAAATTTAATTTAAAAAATAATTAAACATTAAATTTTTTCTTATTATTATCATTTCCTTTCTAGCACTTTTTTTTTTTTTATTTTGTAAATAATGATGTTCTTTTTAAATTTTGCGCAAAAATGTTACTGATATTCTTCGTCTTAATTATTGTGCAAAACCAACATTTTTAAAAAAAACATCAAATTTAATAGAAACAAAGTTTGAACCTTAAAATTGTTTTAATGACTTCTCCTGTTTGGTTACATTTTAAATTTCGCGTATTCATTTTTAATTAAAGTTCGCACATTGCTTGCGCAATAATCAAGACAAGTAAAGCTTCCGCGCATGATTATTTAAGAAAAAAGTATGAAAACAATGCCAGTAATTCCTAAACTGTACATTTCCGCAAATATTTATTGTTATTCTCTACAGAAGCAAGCAAATTTACAACAAAAGGGAAATTTTCATAATAATTGGTTTCCAGGACTTAATCTTCAAACGTGCCGTAAAATGTTGGTCATGAAATGTTGGTAGCCTCTAGAGGAAACCAAGTCAGTGATCCCAATTGTAACATGATGAGACCTTAGCGGCAATCTAGTACTGCGCTTAAATTCATAGAGTAAAGTTCATCAGAAAAATCATCATGAAAGTTTTTATTTGAAAAAAGACGCACGGAAGCTATGTTACGACAACCGGAAAATGATTGAAACGGAGATGCCAGGTGAGGACTGATAACATTGCAGATCATACTCTGGATCTTACCAAGAATCTCTAAATAGATAGGCCAAGAGCGAAACGTATCTATCTATCTATCTATCTATCTATCTATCTATCTCATTGTTTATCATCTATCTATCTATGTATCTATCTAACTCATTCTGTCCATATCTATCTATCTCATTCTTTTCACATCTATCTATCTATCTATCTATCTATCTATCTATCTATCTATCTATAACAGACATTCATTTGTCTCTCTCCCTCTCCCTCTCTCGGCCTCCTGACCGTAGATATTTCTCAGTCTGTTCATGTTTATCTATCTATCTATCTATCTATCTATCTATCTATCTATCTATCTATCACAGACATTCATTTGTCTCTCTCTCTCTCCCTCTCTCGGCCTCCTGACCGTGATATATCTCAGTCTGTACATGTTTATCTATCTATCTATCTATCTATCTATCTATCTATCTATCTATCTATCTATCTATCTATAACAGACATTCATTTGTCTCTCTCCCTCTCTCTCTCTCTCTGCCTAGTGAACGTAATGTATCCTCAGTCTGTACATGTCTCTATCTATCTATCTTCTATCTATCTATCTATCTATCTATCTATCTATCTATAACAGACATTCATTTGTCTCTCTCCCTCTCGCTCTCTCGTACTCCTGACCGTGATATATCTCAGTCTGTACATGTTTATCTATCTATCTATCTATCTATCTATCTATCTATCTATCTATCTATCTATCTATCTATCTCAGTCTGTTCGTTATATATCTGGATCTGTTCATACCTATCTATCTATTTTCATATATATATATATATATATATAATTATATATATATATATATATATCTGTTTTAATTGGCGTAAAACAAATTCATTCCATAATTTGGAATTTATCTCACTTCAAACAAGGCAATACATCTACTAAGACACCAAGGTTTACTGAGTGTTGAAAGAATATGAGAAAAGGAAGTCGTTATTAAGCAAAGAGGAAAATAAAAGGACACAAATTAAGAAGCCCATCATCATGGTTGACATTGCATTTAAATTTTTGATGATCAAAGTCGAGTGGAAAGAAAGAAATCGGAAAAGAGTTCGACAAGGGAGAATTGTCAGAGAAGAAACTGTTAGCATAGAACTTACGGTTGCATCTCGCCATTTCAAGTGTAAAAAGATGAGACCTTACCGCCAATCTAGTATTGCGTTTAAATTCATAACCTCTAGCTACCATAGAGAAAATTACAGCAGGGAAATCATTACGAAAGTTTTTAATTTAAAAAAAAAAAGGCACAGAGAAGCTATGTTACAGCATTGGAAAAGTGACTGAAGCCGAGATGCCAGGCCAGAACTAATAACATTGCAGATTCTTCTTTTTTGGTTTCTAATTAAAATTTCACGCTGTAATGGTTATAAAAGGTTTTTCAGTTCAGCTAGTGCTAATTAAACCTGCCGTGTGTTTATTTTAAACATTTCTAGCTGGGAGGTTTAAATACTGAGAGATTTTGCCTGCTATTTTCTGATAGAGTGATCAATAATATTTTTATTTTACTTGTTTTTTTTTAAAAGGCGAATTTAAAATTATAATTGGGACATCATCTGCTAATCCTAAAGGCAACTTTACAATAAAAGAATAAAAGAAGACGAAAACAAATATATATATCTAGAAGAAGGTTATGTCTCCGAAGATTATTTCATAATGCATGTAACGTATTAAGAGATAAAAAGATTTTTATGGAAATTATTTTAAGATTATGATTGACGATCTTAAGTCCTTACGTTTTTTTGTTTTTTTTTTATCTCGGACTTTTCGCTTGTGGAAACCGCAAAATGTAAATGCATTGCCAATCAATATCTTTCTTCTTCTTAATTCCTATTCTATTATTCTGTTATTCTGTTATTGTTCTCTTTCATTTTGTTAATATTCTAATATACCACCGTAACGTGTCTTTCACGATGATTGTCCTGATAAACTTTCCTCTATGGTACATAGACTTTATGAATTTGAGCGCAGTACTAGATTATCGGTGAGGTCCCATCGTTTTACATTTGAAATGGCTAGGGGTAAACGGAAGGCCTATACTGTTTTTTCTATTGCACTTCCCACACGTGCACCTCTCAGCCGGCTTCTCGATTTTCAGTCAACCTTGCTCATGAATAATTTAAATGCAATATCAATCGTTATCTTATGGTTAATTAATTCCTATCGATTTTTTTTTGTATATCTTTCTCTCTTCTTAATACTGTAATGATTTTATTATATTTTCTAACACTCATTAATCCAGTACTCGATTGGCGGTAAGGTCTCATCCCAACACTCTGGCTCTATACACTCTTCATTATTACTATTATTTTATTACTAGTTTTATTCCATCTTATTATTATTTTATTATACTCTTCATTATTTTTATTTCATTTCTAGTTTTATTCCATCTTATTATTGTTGCTTTTTATCCCAACACTCTGGCTCTATACACTCTTCATTATTACTATTATTTTATTACTAGTTTTATTCCATCTTATTATTGTTGCTTTTTATCCCAACACTCTGGCTCTATACACTCTTCATTATTACTATTATTTTATTAATAGTTTTATTCCATCTTATTATTGTTGCTTTTTATTCCAACACTCTGGCTCTATACAATCTTCATTATTACTATTATTTTATTACTAGTTTTATTCCATCTTATTATTGTTACTTTTTATCCCAACACTCTGGCTCTATACACTCTTCATTATTACTATTATTTTATTACTAGTTTTATTCCATCTTATTATTGTTACTTTTTATCCCAACACTCTGGCTCTATACACTCTTCATTATTACAATTATTTTATTACTATCTTTATTCTATGTTATTAAGATCAATATCATTTGTTATCTCATAACTAATTAATTTCTGTTTTCAATTTTTTTATTTATCTCTCTTCTTAATACTGCAGTGTTTTTTTTTCTCTAACACTCGGTAATCCAGTACTCGATTGGCGGTAAGGTCCCATCATTTTAACCTTGAAATATCTAGATGCAACCGTAAGTTATGATCTAACAGTTTCTTTTAAATATTTCTCTTTTTGCTGGTGAAGCCCTCTTCTGGGTTCTCGATTTTCTGTCAACCTTGCTCATGAAAAATTTGAATGCAATATCAAACGTTATCTTCTGGCTAATTAATTTCTGTTTTTTTTTTCTTTCGTAATAGTATAATTTATTTTATCATATTCTCTAACACTGACTATCAAAGGTATGAAGCCATCACTTCTCCTCAAGTACTGGTTGAATAGCGGGAGAGACTGGGTCCTATTGACTTGGTTGGCAAACAGTCTACCGCAGAAAAAATCGGTCGCCTACTGCGGGAATATCTTATGCCTGATTGACAGAGACATCTAGTCCAATTTTTTATCACTTGATTGTTGACTCAGAAGATTGGCGGTAAGGTCTCATCAATTTACTGCTGAATTAGTTCGGTGCAATCGGAAGTTCTTCTCATCTGTCCCGTTAAAGTGATTCCAGGCAAACCTTCAAAATTTTAAATGCAATGTCAATCGTCATCTACTGCCTTCTTGATTACACTTCTATTGTTCTCGATCCTTAATAATGTTTCTCTTTTTTCATATTCTTTCAATCTCAGTAAACCTTGCGTCTTAGTGGCTTTACTGCCTTGGATGGAGTGAAATGATTAGAAACCAAATTTAAATGCAATGTAATTGTTATCTGCTGTCTTCTTGATTACTCTTCTATTGTTCTCGATCCTTAATATTGTTTCTCTTTTTTTCTTATTCTTTCACACTCAGTAACCCCTTGTGTCTTAGTGGCTTTACTGCCTTGAATGGGATGAAATGATTAGAAACCAAATTTAAATGCAATGCCAATCGTTATCTGCTGTCTTCTTGATTACACTTCTATTGTTCTTGCTCCTTAATAATTTTTCTCTTTTTTCTTATTCTTTCACACGCAGTAACCCCTTGCGTCTTAGTGGCTTTATTGCCTTACATGGTGCTGTGTTGTTCTACGATAGTTGATCTGTTGTCAACTTCTTGCCTGTCTCTTATTTTACTATACACCTTTTATCTCTTCTACTTAACAGAAGCAAATAGGGACGAATCTTAATTACGATATCCCATTACACCTCCTGAAATTGAAGAGTTTTAATGCCATTGGTTGGTCTCAAACTTCTTCCAAAACCTCTTTCCTCCTCTCTCCCTTTGAGGTTTACATTCAGTTCTTTTGAATGGATATCCTGGTTATCCTTAATTGTCAAATGTTGAGTTCCAAGTTTCACAAATTCGCAGAACTTGCTGGCTTCTTTTAATCCGTGAAGATATTTCAAAACTGATTCATCTTGATACTGTTTAATGGATAAAAAAAAGTAGTTCTTTCCGCTACAAGTTTCTTAAACAAATTTCTTAAACTTCTTTTTGTAATTCCTGAAATTTTGTGAAATTCTTTCGTCGTCGGCATCCATCCGTCTCGATAGATATCAACTTGAAACACTGAGATTGACCATTATTTCACGGACTGAAATCTTTCCCTGGAGTCCAGATAAAAAAAAAAAAGTACAAAACTTAACTTCTTGGGTAAACTTACACACACCATTTAAGCACACACATTTTGAGTTTAAAGTTAATAAAACAAAAAATTACAAGATTTCAACCCAAAAAGTCTCCGTCATAGTGAATCTTTTTACAATTAAAATTGTTTGTTGACCAAAATATCGCCTTTGTCATTTCTCAGTTTAGTGTTGTTTTCGCTTGTTCGCTTATTGTTTGCTCGCACGTTTGTAAAATATATATATATATATATATATATATATATATATATATATATATATATATATATATATATATATATATATATATATATATAGTAGAGCCTGGCGTTGCCCTATTGTAACAGTAAGATATAGATCAAGTATAGACCATCATAAAGACTGAAAAATAAAATTGACAAACATTAGTGTTTAAGGTTGACGGACACGCAAATCTTAATTAGTTTTTTTTTGTTTGTTTGTTTTTTTTTACGAATTGGTCAAACCCAAACTCAAACAAAAACATTGTTTTCAATCGTTATAAGTCTACCGATTGAATAGAATTTTATTATAAACAATTGTCTTGTAAATGGAATTTTTAAAGCATTCTGAATGTAAAAATAAAGAAAAAAGTGTGCAAGACAATAAGAAACACTACCTGCCCCCGCAAAAAAGTGAAGTTTTGTTGAAATCGGTTGAAAAATGTAGGAAATCCGATCCCATATATAAACGAACGAAAACACACACACACACACACACACACACACACACACACACACACACACACACACAAACAACCTGGGTATTATAATAAGTATAACTTGATATGAGTTGCCCCCTTTCATTCGCGCGACAGCGATGCCTGTTAATCGCGTTTCCAAATTGATTTCGTGCAAAAACAATTGTGTTTCTCCAATTTTTGGCGCTGTCAGAACCACCGCAAGGTAATTTTACGTAGTCCTGTGAAGTTTTGTTGAAATCGGTTGAAAAATGTAGGAAATCCGATCCAATATATAAACGTACAGACACACACACAATCTGTGTTTTATAATAAGTAAGATATATAAAAGACATTTTTTATGTTTATACATTCTTTTTATAGACACAAATATTTAATCCTCAAATGCACTGTTTAAGATAAACATTTTATTTTCAACAATTACCGGCATCCTGTCAGAACTGAATTCATAGCCTGTTTATCTGTATAGGTCCTACATCGAATTTGACCTGCAGGTACAGAACCGATTATTTGTCTTATTTTTTTTAGGACGAATATTTTCTATTTGATGAAAATTTCTCAGACATTCAGGCTTGAAATGTTATTTAATACTGTTTATTATAAAACAGAGCATTTACTTAAATACTTTGTATCTATAAAAAGAATGTATAAACATAAAAATGTTTTAAATAATTGTCGGACATTGTTCATTTCATAATATATATATATATATATATATATATATATATATATATATATATATATATATATATATATATATATATATAACCACAGAAAAACACAAGTAAAGCAGAAATTAAACAACTAAGTAAGAAAATCTAACTATGAACCTTAAGAGCCAGGCAAACCTACTTGGGATTCACCTACGCGGATCGTCAGGTTACACTGGCTAGTGTACCATGACGCTCCATGAAGTTGAAACCTAGATAGTTTTGCCTGGCTCTTTACGTTCATAGTTATCACTATATGATATATATATATATATATATATATATATATATATATATATATATATATATATATATACGGATTGAATTGAGGCCGTTCAAACTGCTACAGACTCAATTCAACAGTAATGCGGTATCGAGGATCCTTTATCTCTTGTTCAAATTGCGCAGGATTAATATTTCTCCTCATAATCTTTAATCTGTCTTCTGGGGCGGCTAGCCAATTCATGTCGACTTTCATATCGATCACATGTCTGGAACTAAACCCGTTCAGAAATGTCTAAATTGACGGTTACATACAACCGCTTTCTCAGATACATGGATGTAAATCGTTTCGAAACCTTGTGGACTGGCGCTACAGAATCATCAACAAAGAAATTACCGGCCTATTAACTATAGTAAAATTACCGGCCTTTATGTCTATGTCTCTCTATATATCTGTCTATATCTCTGAGATGAGATTATGATTTCTTGCATTATTTACATTATTCGGACTGTTATCCTCATCTTCATTGCCATATTCACAACGTTTCGGCCGTTATACGCTCCGGCCTTTATGTCTATGTCTCTCTATATATCTGTCTATATCTCTGAGATGAGGTATTATGATTACTTGCATTATTTACATTATTCGGACTGTTATCCTCATCTTCATTGCCATATTCACAACGTTTCGGCCGTTGTACTCTCCGGCCTTTATGTCTATGTCTCTCTATATATCTGTCTATATCTCTGAGATGAGGTATTATGATTACTTGCATTATTTATATTATTCGGACTGTTATCCTCATCTTCATTGCCATATTCACAACGTTTCGGCCGTTGTACTCTCCGGCCTTTATGTCTATATCTCTATATATATCTGTCTATATCTCTGAGATGAGGTATTATGATTACTTGCATTATTTATATTATTCGGACTGTTATCCTCATCTTCATTGCCATATTCACAACGTTTCGGCCGTTGTACTCTCCGGCCTTTATGTCTATATCTCTATATATCTCTGTCTATATCTCTGAGATGAGGTATTATGATTACTTGCATTATTTATATTATTCGGACTGTTATCCTCATCTTCATTGCCATATTCACAACGTTTCGGCCGTTGTACTCTCCGGCCTTTATGTCTATGTCTCTCTATATATCTGTCTATATCTCTGAGATGAGGTATTATGATTACTTGCATTATTTACATTATTCGGACTGTTATCCTCATCTTCATTGCCATATTCACAACGTTTCGGCCGTTGTACTCTCCGGCCTTTATGTCTATATCTCTATATATCTGTCTATATCTCTGAGATGAGGTATTATGATTACTTGCATTATTTATATTATTCGGACTGTTATCCTCATCTTCATTGCCATATTCACAACGTTTCGGCCGTTGTACTCTCCGGCCTTTATGTCTATATCTCTATATATATCTGTCTATATCTCTGAGATGAGGTATTATGATTACTTGCATTATTTATATTATTCGGACTGTTATCCTCATCTTCATTGCCATATTCACAACGTTTCGGCCGTTGTACTCTCCGGCCTTTTATATGTCTATATCTCTATATATATCTGTCTATATCTCTGAGATGAGGTATTATGATTACTTGCATTATTTATATTATTCGGAGTGTTATCCTCATCTTCATTGCCATATTCACAACGTTTCGGCAGTTGTACTCTCCGGCCTTTATGTCTATGTCTCTCTATATATCTGTCTATATCTCTGAGATGAGGTATTATGATTACTTGCATTATTTATATTATTCGGACTGTTATCCTCATCTTCATTGCCATATTCACAACGTTTCGGCCGTTGTACTCTCCGGCCTTTATGTCTATGTCTCTCTCTATATATCTGTCTATATCTCTGAGATGAGGTATTATGATTACTTGCATTATTTATATTATTCGGACTGTTATCCTCATCTTCATTGCCATATTCACAACGTTTCGGCCGTTGTACTCTCCGGCCTTTATGTCTATGTCTCTCTATATATCTGTCTATATCCCTGAGATGAGGTATTATGATTACTTGCATTATTTATATTATTCGGACTGTTATCCTCATCTTCATTGCCATATTCACAACGTTTCAAACTCTCCGGCCTTTATGTCTATGTCTCTCTATATATCTGTCTATATCCCTGAGATGAGGTATTATGATTACTTGCATTATTTATATTATTCGGACTGTTATCCTCATCTTCATTGCATATTCAAACGTTTCGGCCGTTGTACACTCCGGCCTTTTTCTATGTCTCTATATATATCTGTCTATTTCTCTGAGATGAGGTATTATGATTACTTGCATTATTTACATTATTCGGACTGTTATCCTCATCTTCATTTCCATATTCAAAACGTTTCGATAAACATTGTCTCCGGCCTTTATGTCTATGTCTCTATATATCTGTCT